GGGCTCAAGTATCCCCCTGCTATGGATTGTGGGGCTGGCGCGGGATCGGGCAGTGTTTCGTTCTGCTGTGCATGGGGTCACTATGAGTCAGAAACGACTCGACGGCACTTAACAACAACAACAACAACAATAACAACAACCCCACTGAAAACTCTAGCCCTAACTTAATCCTCAACTAAAAAAGATTTAAAAAAAGATGTAGCAGATGAGGTCAGAGTGGCCACAAAAAGCCCGATCGTACTCGCTTACTGAGCCACTCCTGTGAACAAGCTGAAAATGTAGTTAAAATGTTACTCAAACATATTTCTACAAAGTGGAATGATTGAACAGTTAGCTCTTCTCACCCATGTATACTCACTCTAGGGAGGCAGCATTTTGTTACCGAAAGACCTGGGTTAAAATCTTGCCTGGCTGACCTTGAGCAAGCCACCTAAATGTTCTGAGTCTTAGTTCCTTCAAGTGTGAAATGAAGGTAATGGTATCTCACAGGGTTGGTTGTTAATATAAAACATTAATATATAAAGAACCTAATATATGTAGTAAACTTTAAATTAATTTCTGATCCATTTTTTTCAGTTGTAACAGGGTTAAACATGGATAATTTAAAACAAGCTCATTTACATAATTTGGGAGTAATTATATGCAGTATCGATAATTTATGTGACTAAATCTTGCGGAGTTAGTCTTTTAGATTACTCAGGGTTATAGTGGGTCAGATTGAGGCAGTACTGGGATGGAGAATTTGATCACAATCCATATAAAACGAGGGTTGGAGCAGTCCAGGCCAGGTACTTCCTGATTAAACAGAAAAAGCCCTTAAAGTACAGAGTAGAACTTCAGCCAACTCCACAAGAGCCCTTCAAGCACAGGGTGTCTGATACCCTTGGAAAAAAGTGGCTTTGATCAAGGCTGGAGTGAGTGGTCTTTAGGTTCTTGGGATCCTAAAATAATGCCAAGAATTTGGGGCTCAACCAGTTGCTGGGCCTGACTTTCTCAGGGATCTTAAAACTTCTGTGAAACTAGGGCATTAATGTCACTGCACCCTTCCAGAA